GCGCCACAAATCTCGTAGCAGAGATCGCCATGATGATTATTACCGGGAAAGAAGCCGAGAACGTGAGAGACATCGTGACCGCGATAGAGACCGTGACAGAGAGCGGGATCGAGAACGAGAGTATCGTCATCGTTAAAGGAGGTGGGTATATCAGTTTCAGACTTCAGGATCAAGGTTTGGGTTTTTTCTTAAATCAACATTAACTTAAAATTATGTTTCAGAATAAATATCTGCTTTGTAAAGCTCTATGATATCCTAAATACACTTCTTATAGGCAATTTCAGGTAAGTATTAAAAAAAACCTTCCTGTTTTTCCATCCTGTCTCCCTTTGCTTAACTGCATTAATGTCTTCTAGCATGTCATGTATGCTTTGTAATGTTGCTTTTAAAATGACGATCTGGCAGTCTCAAGTTTGGGTCTGTCACAACAGCTTTCCCATAAGCATTTGCTCAATGGAAGGTAACAAATTTTGTTTGGGCTCTGAGATGCCCATTTATCAGTGCAGTCTTGCCTCATGTTTTCCATTCCTCCACAAATATTTTTGCATGGCAGTAGTATGCCAAAGCTGCTGCTAAGTGGTCTTTGATAGCATCTGAAAATTGGGACATTGCTGCCATTACTGCAGTGCCTTAAGTCCTGGCATTGTGGTGGCAAGGAGCATAACAACTATTCTTTTGAGCTTCTACACTAAAGCAGTATCACGTAGGATGCTGATCATTGGTCCCATTAGAGCTTAATTGTCGAGTTTCAGACCTGTTACACCCACCTCAAAGAAACCCAGACCAAACATTTGGTCTTGGATGGAGGATGTTGGGCAGCTATATCTATGTGTTAATTATAGGCAGAAGTTGACGGTGTGTGTCTTTATTTACTTAAATTCCTGTATCTCTTATTTGGAATACAGTGGGGTTTGAATTGGAATTTAGATGGCCTTGTATGAGCTGTCTGTGTTCTTGCTGTTGCTTATTGGGCAGAGTGATACCAGAAGAAAACAAAGTTACACAAATGTACATTTCTTGGCACCAACAAGAACATTTTAATCTGTATGATTTCCTTTTCAAGAAAAAAAGAAGATATGCTAAGTTAACAGGCTGTGTAATGGCATGTGATCTAGCATGCTGTAGTACCTCTTTAGTCATTCTTTCAAAACACTTACTACTTCACAGAGCATATAAAAGTATCTTTACAGAATGCAGTCTTTTTTTCCTCCTCATGGCCACTGAGGTGACTAACAGATTAATAACATAATAAAACCACATCTTAAATAGAATAGAAATACATTATTAAAATAGCGATACAATACAATACATGTACATAAAAATGACAAAACATAAGCAGGAAAGAACAGTCACTAAGTCCCTGCCTGGAAAGGCAGTCCAGAAGGTTATCATGTTTGATGTATCAAAAGCCACTGAGAGGTCCAGGAGAATCAGTGGAGTTACACTCCCTATATCCATCTCCATCTAGGTGACCAATAGCTGTTTCAGTCTCATAACCTGGCCTTAAACCAGATTGGAATGATCCAACATACTCATCTCTAGTCCTTTTCACTCCTTCATGAATGGTAATGGGGCTACAACTTCAGTGTGCTTTTAATATCCTGTTGATAATAATTTCATTTCATTTTCTGTACTGTATTATTGTGTGGCACATCAGTAGTGGTTGTGTAGCATCTTCTGACTGCTACTTTACACTGACAAGTTCTTGTTCCATCTCTGAAAGCCAAAGTTTTCATTGTTAAATTAGAAAGACTTTTCTTAGATGTCTATATTTTGTCTTGTGGAAATATAGAATAACTTGGCTATTCCCTCAACGATAGCCTGGAACTCTAGAGATATCAGAGGACCAAACTAGACATGCAGTCACAGGTATGCTTTCTCCCAGGTTTTAAAAATTAACCAGGAGCAGGCTGGGCTGTAAGTTAAACAGAAGAATGATAATGGGAGGGAGGATGAAATAGCGTACACCTTCCTCATTTTGATGGCTTTCTGATCAATATCCACATACATCCAAGTAGCTTATCAGCATCCTGACTTGATTTTTGGGAAAGACACATGCAAGTTCTTAGAAACATTGGGGGGGAGCCTAAAATTTTGACTCAAAATAGTTTCCATTTCATATTCCTTGGAAGAGTTTTCTAATTCTTCAGAACTGTGGGTTTTCTTTTGTTCGTCTTCATGTGAAGAGAAAAGTACTTGAGACTTTGGTTTCTGTTCCTAGAGGGTTTTTTCCTTGCCAGCTTCATTCTTATGTTTGGCAATGTATTTTCTTGTTGCCTTTTCTAGATAGGCATTTCCCGCTTCCTTATTTATGAAATCAACCATATTTGCCTCATCTTCTTCATAGTTTTTTGGAACATATTTCTTCTGGACTGTATAAATTTGTTAGAATGAATCACTTAGCATAACAAGTAGAGATGAAAGAAGTAGCCCCCATCGCTCCCCCAACCTTAAGCTTGGACAATCTGTGTTCTCTTCAGAGAAATCACAAGTAAATCTTGTTGTTAACAGCCTGATTACAGTCCCCTTTTCATTCATTCTTCCCTTGCTTCCAGCTCTGTCCCATGCACGTTTGCGCACACTGCATTTCCCCTCAGCCTAACACATTAGAGAGGCTAGGTGAGGCAATGGAGACAATTAGGTTTGTCACTAGAAAGACTCAGTAAGGTGAGATTTATGATTGACTTCATAAATTGTTGGAAGAACTGTAAGGCACTCTGTACGTTAAATGGAAAGTGTACATCAGGATATTCATTACAAGTTGTATTTGCATTCTTTAACAATAGGCTTAATTATTTCCTAATTAGACAGTTAACTTCACTTACATTGCTATTATGGACAGTTTATTACAGCTTTTCTTTTTCAAGTCCTTACAAGTTTATTATGATATGCCATCTGTACCACGAATACCCTGGTAATTGACCTTTCAGTACATCATTCATTTGGTATTTCTAACTTATCAGAAATGCTACCGTGGATATCACTGTGAACAAAAGCATTTATTTATTTAAAATACTTTGAGCTTTTCCCGAAAGAACAGGGTCAAGGTGGCTTATAAATATGTAATCAATATTAAAATCAGAAATGGTTATTTACCATCCCTATTCCAAAAAGAGGTAATGACTTTAGTTATACAGTGCTATGCTTTGCAGTAGATCAATAGGATAACTTCTCAGTGTGCATAGGGGTTTGATATTTACCTGAAGGATATGAGCAGTAAACTTCCTTTCATCTAGAGTCGTTTTGGTCCATGAGCTCTGCCTTATGTGTAAGGGAAGGCATAGTGACAGGGATACTCAATGCAGGTATATTATAGAAAACAACCAACAACAACAAACAAAAAGGCTTTCAGGTCTTAGGCATGCTCAACAGTGTGTCTTGGCTAGTGTGTGAAACTGTAAATTTACAATCTGTGTTTTCTTTCTTCAGTGATTAACATCTTGATGCCTGAGATTAGAAAATGATCCTACAAATATTTTTAGAGCTTTACTGTTTCATGTAAACATACAAACTATTGTTGGAAATTTATAATTACAGAAATATTGGGGTGGTTTAAGACTGAAGTTTTTTCTTGCGGGCTGCTAACATATGATAGTTAAAATGTTGCCTTCTCTTTAAGTATAGTATACAGTTCAGTTCTTAGAATGTATAAAAGCCCCAAACTGAACACTTACAACCCACTTCAGTCTTACCTTTATTTTTATTAGGTTGGGACTAATTCAAGGTGGGTTTAAAGTGGAATCAAAACAGCCACAAGAGTGAGTGAAAAGGTAGCTGGAAATGTTTCAGCAATGGCAGCTTCTTGTAGCAAAAACAATGAAGTCTTGTGGCATCTTTGTGTTCTTTGAATCTGATAACTGTTCTAAATCTGGAATAATATAAACATGTGTAATTCTACAGCTTCTTGATGATAAATCCAAGATTTATTTATTTTTAAATTGATTTTAGGCTGAGTCTCTTTTTCCTTGGTTGAAGTCAGGATATTTTCCATTTTGATAGCTACCTATCTTAATCATCTATTTGACACCAGTAGGATGCAAGTTCAAATGTGTGTTCAGGAATAAAATGCGAAGCGTAGGAAACTGACTTTGCAGTCATGTGCTACTGTGCATCTTAGATTATAAAATGTCAGGTCACAGTCTTAGGTTCTTGACAATTAAGAGAAATTCATGTGAATTAATAACAGAGTTTATGGCAAAAATGTTTGAAACCAAATCCAGAGCCACCTTTGGTTTATATAATGCCTATGCTTTCAAGTGTGCATGTTCTTTTTAGCATGCATATGAGTGCACACTAATTTCACCTCATAAGAAAATATGCAGTACTTTGTCTAATGGTCTAGGGTACTACTTGTCTAATGAAAGGAGAAACAGCATAAATGGAGTGCTGCATTTTAGCATATCACTGTAAAACACAATTTGTTCTTTAAAATTATATGTGGCTTCTGTAAAGTGTTTATTTCTTATAGATGTATTGGGCGAACACATAAATCACATGTGCTTTTTCAGTCTGGGTTGTATAATAATTTAGGAGATGGCTGTGAGAACAAAGTCATACTCTGTGGTGATTATGTAACAACAAGCTAGATATTTTTGTGTAAACGTTAGTTTTCCAGACTTAATTTGTCCTGCTGCTTCTACAACTGCAGCCTGAATTGAAATTTGTATGTTATGCATTTCAAATTTACCATATGATCTCCATTAAGTATACTACCATATAGATACTTAAGAACAAACTTTTATAGCTAATGAATTGAAAGTCATTATTGGGTTTTTTTTAATCCATATGTATGCCTCAAACTAGATTTTTATTGTGCTAGCCAGAGCTGCTTTTATTTACTGTAATTGTGGCAATAGTAAAATTGATTGCAGGGGATAGCTGAACACTTATGTAGGTTAGCAAAATGATCATTTCCCTCTCAGAAGCTTAATAAATTGGTAGTAAATACTACCAAGCTAGAAAACAAAGGTTCTAAACACATATTTGGATTAAATTGCATTGTCATCTACAGTTAGGTAAATTCACGAACAAGGGTTAAATTGGTGCACAGCTTCTCTAAAGTCAGATGTACCCTTCCAGACTTCTTGTTTGGGTACATTAACTGATCCCAGATGGTTTTAATGTACTCATTCTTGGTCAGT